GCAGGAGTGTTTGATGTGATATTTTATATGAATATCATAAATGTCAACCGACCGCTTTGTAATTGAATAAAGTGTGTGCAGATAATGCCAGCGAGAGGGAATGTCAGACATGATTATCGTGAGAAATCACCACTAAATTAATTGATTGTGCGCAAACACTCATTAAATTACCACAGACATGGTTTTTTCGCGTGCACGGTTTTTGTTCTATCATAAAATATTAATGTGAGTGTCTGAGAAAGGATTCGGACTATTAATTCGTAATTGAAAATATCACTTTTCGATTAGAAAGTCACAATTGCTGAAAAATATATCTTGTGATGTGTTACTTAAATTATTTCAATTTATTTTTGATGTATGATTTGACTAACTTTTGCTAATATTTTACTGTTTTACGATCAATAACACATGGAAACACCTCGTGAAATGTGCGAAATGACTTTCTTACGCCTCATTTGCACACAGAATCCCATTAGACCATTAATTACTAACGCTTCTTGAGTTCTCGAACACTCTTGTCGAATTATTCTGTAAAAATCAATATGTTTTCTCATGGAGGACAATATTTCTCTTAGCTCTTTCTCTTGCTTATCTTCGTGCCCTTTTAGCTTTACATTTCCACCACTCTTATTTCTCTCCTTCTGCATCATCGTTAAGCGTGTTCCCACGCTTCTACGCGGGTGAGGCCAATAGCAGTTTCTACTTAGAATACTGTAGAGAACATGTTGGCGGACCTTTCTCTATGTTCCATCTTTTTCAAGATAAGGCAGCACTCTCTCTCTCTCCCGTTAATATTTTTGCCTTTTTGTTTATACAGAATAAATGGTGTGGAATAATTCTGGAGGTATTAATTGAATTTGGGCGTAAGTCAAAGATAAAATTTTATCTAGTGCTCGCAGAGCAGAACATTGCGCTAAAGTATTTGATGGAAGGGAAATGTTGTGTGATGATGAGAGAGAAAACTCAATTTGTATTTTCACCACAAAAGTGATTTCTTTATATTACGCCCGTGAATTCACTCTAGCAATAACATTAGCATAAGAACAGAATTTAACTGAATAATCGAGGATAAAAAGACGGGGAAAGCTGGCACTTTCCTTGCCTTTCATCATCATTTGCTAATGAAAAGATTCATCAAATGTGTTGCCTTTTGATTATATTCTTGGTGTGTCTTTAGAATATTATACTGGGGTAATTTCAACACTGTGCCGCAATTGACTTTCCATTTGGTCGCTCGTTGAATGTGAATTCAATGTTTCTCATCCCAACAAGACGCGTGATTTATGTTCATTTTAGTGTTTCAATTGATTGTGAGGTATCTTGAGAGTCACTTGATATGCTTCTTGGTGTTGAATGTGAAATTAGCATTTGGAAAGGGCGGCCCATTGCTCTGCATTTGAATATGAATAAAGTCAAGGATTTTGGGTAGATGCTCTCCTACTCTATTGACTGTCTTCATCTACATGTGACTCCAATGAATGTCTAAATATACTGCATTAATTTACACGTCAAAGCCTAGTTAAGTATTCTGCAGAGCACGAGTATTCATTGAATAAATTTCGCAAGTGACGAAATGTCGGAAATAAGGAATTCACTTTTGCAATTTGGCGCTGTTTTGTGACTCCAAAAAAAAATAATAATAATTCACGCAGGTGGGAGGCAAAATTTCATTCACAATGTAATGTCTTTTGTGTACGAATCCGCTCATTTAAAATATTTCTATGTCGTTTGACGAAATTATGAGGAATTTCTTAATTGCATGTGGGGCAACGGAGTAATGCTCAATTTCACACATTGTTTTATGAGGAGAAGAGTATACTTTTGTGTTGATTTCATTTTTTTTACCAACTCCCCCAACAAACCCTGAAGGTCAGCCTAAGAAGGGTACAAATACACACATAAAACATTAGCGAGAGTGACAGTGAAAAAGTTATTGCACAAAAGTAGATACATTTCAATTATTCAGTGAGCTTTTTGTGTGGCAACTTCGCGGCACGGCTGGAAGTTAAAAAATCATTTTAAGACACATTTATATACTAGCTTTGCAAGAGTGGAAGGAAAAGAATTTACTAAGAGAAGTAGAATTGGAATAGGCATTATAATTTCTCACGTTCACTTTCAATTGTGGCAATTTTTTGCTTCATTGGAATTCCCTCTAGTGTCTCTTTCTCTCCATTACTGCCATTTACCACCAGCCAAGCAGAGTGTTTTGTGTAATGAAATCCCAAAGAAATCCAATATCGAAATCGATATGTCGAGACAATTTTCCACGAAATCCACTTTAATGGCAATTTAACTACATACATATTGAGTGTATTGATCTCGATTAAAGTGACAATTTTACCTAATTTCTGTGTCAGCGTCAAATTAGACATAAAATTGAGGCTCGATTTATCAAATCGATCAAGTTTTTGCTCCAGTGCTGTGACAAATTAAATGAAAATTGGTAAAATTATCAAGATTATTATGCATTGTGAACAATCTTTGCATTTAAATAGAAATTTTTCGTTTGCCATAATCTCAGTATTTAACAGACTGTGAAATAAGAAAAGATGGTGTGTTTAATGTATTGTTTTCGGAATGACGTTAAAAGTTCTAATATAGTTTCACTTTGACTCCATGGCAGAGTTTTTGGGCATTTCTCTGCATCAATCTTCCTATGACGTGCACAAGCAATTTGTCTGGCAATTAAGTAGAGAAATTATTGGATTAGTTGGCGAACAAGGTTAAAGAGAGGATTGAAAGAAGATTCAATCATCATCAAACTGAACATTCTGGAATCATGTTCGATTGTCAAGTTCATTTAAATACAGAGTCGCGTGTTTTCATTGGCGAAAGAATACAATTTACTAATTGTTGAGTATTCGCCTGAAAATGACCTCATCAATTAATTTATGAACTTTTGCAAGAGCCAAAAGCTATACGGCAAGAAATTGGCAATAAAGTGTGAGAGACAGAGTAATTTAGCATGAGTGTTCTTTTTCTCCCCATTGAGTATTGCTCAACGCGATGTAGAAAATTGATTGCCAACTCCAAGTGATGTAATTTTGCACCACTTGAGCATATATTTGCATTTCACTGTGCCGAATTAAGGAATCCTCCTTCTCTCTTCGCAAAGTGAGCGGAATTTTCAAAACAATCTTAATGATAGGAAGTGTATGGAAGAAGTGTATCTCGATCATCGCCCAATGTACAATTTCACAAACACGCGCAGCCGTTGAAAATTGCCGAGGTGGCCTAAGTCAAGGTATTGGATGTTTACAAACACTACTTGAATTTAGTGCAACGAGTTTGCATGATTACGGTGCTACCTTTGTGGAGAGAATCATTGAATTCCGCCTCTTCGAATCACTTCTTGGCGTCACCTACTTTCTTTCTCACTCACCATGAACAAACTCTTCTTCAAACCACCGCCGGCGACTTCCCGGAAAGAGGTGATCGAGACGCCTTCTAAATTAACAATTGCTCCCCGTTTCAATTGAACAGATTTCACGCGAAATTTCACCTTTCAGCCTCAAAACTAGACATTTTGCAAATCTCGCTTACAATGATATTGCACCGAAGGTGTGCAGAAAATTAATTATGCATGGTAATTCATGCCCCGTCAAAACGTGTGGCTTTTTTGTGCAAAATATGCAACTCCCACGGTTTACAGGCAATTCTTTTTCGTCTCTCAATAGCAAAGAATGTGAGTTAGATAAAGGAAAGAGACATTTTGCAAGGGAATTCTAGTCTGGAGTGTTTTATTTATATGACATTCGGTGTGACAATTTTAGAGATTTATTGGAATTAGAATCTATGCTACTAGCTTTTAAGCAGTGCGCAGATTTTAATTAAAGCTTCAAAAAACATTAATGAGATGATTTTTGCTATCGGGGAAACTTGGCAATTAGCTTCAGAATATTCACTTTGATGATGCTCTACTTTGTGATGTCTTCGCGCGGATAAATCCGCCGAAAAGGGCGATGAAGTTTCGCTGCTAAACAGAAAGAACTTTCACCCTCCCACAAAATAAGTTGAGCAACAAGAAGAGTAGATTGAGATTGAGATGAGGTGATGTGTACTTCCATTATCCTTGTTTAAACTTTGAAAGCTCAGAAGATGAAAATTGTTCATCGATAACGCATAGTAAAAGCTTCTTGAACGGACTCACCACAAATTCTCCAACTTTTTGAACATTTGTTCAAAGCCGAGAAATGAAATTGGGCAAAAGTCAAATCTTTGAAATCCTGAAATTGTTCATGTGCGAAATGAATGGTTCAATATCATGAAAATGCAGAAATCAGTAAAAGTCAGCAATGTTTCTTTGTTGTGCACCGAAAAATGCAATGGAACAATTAAGCGGAGTCTTTTGAAGTAATTTTATGTAGAAGAAAACGTGCAAAAGAAGCAGAAAGTTGTCCTTCTAGAGCGGATGTATTTTAATTTTTCAAGCATTAATTGATTTAATTCATTATTCTATAAATTTTCTCTAAATATTACTTTGGTGATTAACAATTAATAAAGAGTCAAATGTTAATAAATTACCACATATTCAAGTGCAAAGTAATGTACTATCAACATGAAAATCTTCTCGGTTTCTCTCTAACGATATATTCATTAGATATCGTCTTAACAGTCTTAACATGTGTGTCAAACATGGTTCCTATAATATCTTGCAAATTAAGACATCTACCTCAATCCATGGCCCGCATTTCGGGGCAAAGTGATTGAAATATGGATCATATTGTCAATTACGTAGGAAATTTCAAATTTTAATTAATCAGTAGAATAAACATTTCCGTCATAAATCTGCCAGATGTGAAATGAATAATAATAGTGGAGCGTGTGTGTAATTCAACATGAAACTCGTGCGGTATCGTTTTAAACTCCCAGATAACCACAAAAGCAGAAAGCCAAAGATAGAGTCAAAGAGAGAGAGAGAGAGATGAAGAAAGAAAAATGTAATCCAGAAAGATGCAATTGAGACTCAACATTTCTTTCGCAATCTCATTTTTCAGGTTATCCATGGCGCCCACATCGAGCCGGCACACAAAATCCGGAAGCGGAGCCTCGATCAGCCACTGCGAATGACCATCACATACGATGAGTCTGTTTATAGACTGGACGAAGATAAATTCGAATTAGTTAATGTAAGAGTGATGTTGAGCTCATTTTCATATCTACACATAAATTTACTGTTTCTCGCACATTGCTGTCATAGAGATTTATTATTTGTAAAATGCACTCTTATCACGATGTCTCAATCTTGATTTTCTCCACAGACAATCATTCTGCCAGAAGCTGTTCATTTTTGGGAGAAAGCGCTCATGGTGCGGGAAACGAAACAAGTCATTAGATTAAATAGGTGGGTGTTTAATGTGTCGCAATTGAACTCTAATGTGCTTTATTTACTCATCTCACTTAGTCCGCTTATCTCTCTTCATATTCTTCTTACTATATTCACTGAAATTGAACTCGGGAAAGTTATTTTGCCGTGAAAAATGTTTCAGTTGCGATTATATTGGCTGTTTGTGTGCAACTTCTTTAGGGGAAAAGTTTAGAAGTGATTCTATTGTGTGGGTGAAATATAGCGTTTTCTGATAGCATTTCAAATATATCATTCAAACCAGTAAAATGCATTTCAAATTTCATATATACAATATTCTTTCAAACAAAATATATCAAACGGCGCCCGTAAATTGTTAATCGCTTATTTTGTCTCATTAAAGAGTTACTCGTGTTACGCATTAATATTTTTGGTTGGAAAATTAAATTACCTGATATAATCTTGTTCATTATAGCTAAAATTAGAGTCGTGATTTAAATAATTGGGCACTTATTTAAACCTAAGAAGCATTATTGTGATTTTGCGAGGGGAAGATATTCAGCGAATGAAGTGTACACACAATTAACTCTCTTTCTATCCTCTTACATAAGATATGGGTAATTTGGCAAGTCATTGTCAGTTACGTAGACCGATATTTATTTTTGCCTACAAAGGAATGTATTGAATTACGGGAATTAATCCATACACCAATTTGTTCGAAGAAATTTCCGTTGTTGTCTTTCCAAATTTGCGAGTATTTAATTAATTCGAAATGTTGCCGTATCCTTAGAGAATATCTGCCACCAAAATGATGGTACTTGAGTTAATCACTTCCACGGAAACACCTACGCGATGGTAAAAATAAATCCTTTTGTCGCTTGCAGGAAATGCGAGAGCAGTCAGGTTTTCGTGAAAAATTCCCTGACTTACTGCATTGACTCGTGCAAAGCCACAACGATGTGTGGCGAGGTGGCCGTGCCGGAGAAGCACTTGGACGTGTGTCGAACGTGCAATGCGACGGGCCAGGATTGTCGCGAAGCTCCTGGCTCAAAGGCCGGTCCGGGCATCGCTCACACGGATTTCATCTTCTACGTGTCGGCACGACAGACTGAGCGATGCCACAAGGGACTCACAGTGGCTTATGCGGCTCATTGTCAGCAAGAGGCGGCTCTGGACAGACCGATTGCCGGTCACGCGAATCTCTGTCCGCAGAGCATTAGCACAAAGCCGCAGGAGTTGCAGACATTGCTGTCCACGGTGAAGCACGAAATCCTGCACGCGCTTGGCTTCTCCGTGAGTCTGTATGCGTTCTTCAGGGACGAGAAGGGTTACCCGAGAACACCCAGGAAGCCAGACACGGGAAAGCCCTATCTGAATGAGAAGCTGCAGATTCACCAGTGGAGCAATTCCACCATCAAGCGCATCGTGAGAGAGCACTGGGCTGTCCGCGGAGGGCATATTCGAAGGGCGATTGACATGATGGTGACACCGCGGGTGGTGGAGGAGGCGCGGAAGCACTTCAACTGCAACATTCTCGAGGGAGCTGAGCTGGAGGATCAGGGTGGCGAAGGGACGGCTCTCACCCACTGGGAGAAGAGGATATTCGAGGTGGGTGTCCCACATATAATGTCTAATTAAGACGTCAAGGATCAGAGTTGAGAGCAAATTCGAGAACGATTTTCAAGATGTTTAATATGGAATCGATTTTCTTGTTTTTGAAATTGCACATGTGTTTGCATAAAGTTTACAATGTTCACGATATTAATTACACCACAATCTTGTCATTGTTCATATCGGATAAAGACGATCAACTCTGTGATGTGATGAAAATGCTAAGATGCGCAGAAGACGAATGAAGTCATTTCCTCTTTATATGCTTAATGTGTCCGAAAACCACTGGTGATTTTGCAGAATGAGGCAATGACGGGCACTCACACTCAATCTCCGGTCTTCTCGAGGATAACACTCGCCCTCATGGAGGACTCTGGCTGGTATAAGGCCAATTACAGTATGGCATCGCCGCTGACGTGGGGTAAGAACCTGGGGTGCAATTTTGCCATGCGAAGCTGCAAAGATTGGATTGCGATGAATCACGCAAAGTAAGTTGACCTCCACTGTTGAATTCACCACACAATGTATTACATTTTAACACCTAAAGTGAGGGACTTGAGGGGCGGTGAATGCGTCAAGGTGAAGGGTGTGTCAATAGGTTTAACTCTCTCTCTCTCTCTCGCACTCTTTCACTCTCAATGGGAGCTTTCGTGCAAAAATGGGCTTTTCATCGTGAATGGCGATTAACAATATTATTACCACTAACATAAAATATGAATTCTTTTCCTCCGGCCACTCTGCAGCGAATCACTTTCCTCGGGAGCCAGTGAAGCATTTCGGTATGTTGTCAGAGCAATTTGCATGAAATCAACCTTTAATCGTGCACTTTACATTGTGTTCATGCTTTTTGTGCCTCTCGGCGGAAATTTTTGGTGTGCTTCGAATCAAAGTGTGTGTGTTTTTTTTTTCTTGTGTGAGAAAGAGCTTCACTTTTTGTCTGAAAGAAATTACAATTGAACGAGTCGAAAGTATCTCACATTTCGTAGGTGCCTTTTTATAGCTTCTCACCAAGGTGCTCCTGAAGCATACATTTAATCCTCCTTTTTTACGATTTTCTCTTTATCCTTTTACATCCACTTAACAAGTGTGAAATTCCAATCGTGACTGAGTTGTACACTTGTGTTCATGCTTCTGAGCTTAAATTCTGCCTGAGAGATCTTAATCAATGACACAATCTTATTTGAAAAGCTAGAAGAGACATAAATCGACGATGCTCAATTTGATGTCAATGAGGCAGTTGTTGCAAAATCCTCTTTTATTGCGAATGATATCCAATACATAGGAACTGTTCAATTACAAAACTTCAGCTCAAGGCTTTGTCTATTCTTGTATCCTTCAATATATATGTAAATTTTTACAATTGACTTGCTTTTCACTTATTTGTCAAATTTTGGCACTATTTTTGTAACTTTTGTGGCTTAGTTTAGATGCATAATTTTCATTTCTATGCAACATGGCTCAATCCATATTTTATCGCACTGTTTGTCAGAGCTGTAAATATGCATTATTTTGAATAAATTCCCATATGAATATGTATGACGGGCAAAGCTCATAATAGTAGATTGCAAATGCATCACTGTGGTTAATTCAATTCACCTTTCAGAGCTCTGTGGCTGTACTGTACGATATTCCTTATTGCGATATTTTCCATAGACTGTTGTTGTGACCACAAAAATTTCTGTACCATTATGCTAAATGGGCAATACGTTACCTTGCCAGCTCCTCATAATGTCTTCCCTCACGTGCAAACTACTAAAGCGCAAAAAAAAAATTGATGGACTCCTTTCAGAGGTCGCACGATTCACCCGTTCTGCTCGAAAGTCAAAAGAGATCCACTTCAGACAGAATGTACCGACGATAGAAATTCAGTGGCCTTGTGCAATTTGATCCGACACGACTATCCACTGCCCAAAGAATATCAGGTGAGTGATGGCCCTATTGTATGGTGTACATGAGCAAGAGTGGCGTGGCGCTATTGAGACAATTAGCAGGAGTAGAGTGATATTAATTGTGTGACCATTTTTCGCAGAATTTCGACAGCATCGCACACGTTGCTGCCGGTGAGGAGGAGTTCTACGGCGGTTCCGTGTCACTGGCAGATCACTGTCCCTACATCCAAGAGTTCACGTGGAGGAGCAAAAACGTCACCGTCAGGGGTTCACAGTGTCAATTCGAAGACAATAATCCAAGTAAGCAACTCATAATGTGCCTCTTTCAAAACTTTTTGCACGTCTCAAGACAATCAGACAATTGTTAAGCTTTTCATCCAAGCTCGTGAATCAATTCATGTGTGCTTGAAAGAAGAGTTTAAAATACTGTTGTGATACTTTTGTGAATTCAAGGAGTTTTCTTGCATTATGACACAAAAAAAAATCCCCTCGAGAATTATGGTGTGTATGTGTGTCTTTCATAACACACAAAAGACGTTCACAAATTTGTGGGGAACAAAGAGAAAAGTTTAATTTCAACTTCTGGTTTCCTGCCAAGAAGATTGATTCAGTATCAATTTTGGGTTTTTGGTGTTGAGATTCACTTAAGAATTACTCACAATTGCTCATCTTTCCTCTGCAGAGCCTGAGAAGAACTTCGCGCTGGAGTCTTATGGCGAGAATTCCAAGTGTTTCGACCACACTGACGCCATGTGGGAGGAACGATCGTGCCGACAGACACGGGAATGGCAGCACTGGGGCTCAGGTTGCTACAACTACCGTTGCGAGGAGGGCAGACTGCACATCCAGGTGTACAACTACTCATTCGAGTGCTACCACGCCGGTCAGGAGATCAGCGTGCGTATCTTCGCGGGCGGATGGCTCCACCGAGGCGCCCTGCGCTGTCCTCCGTGCCGCGATGTGTGCAGCGAGGAGTTCGCCAGCCGCGGCGAGCACTGTCGCGTTGGCGAGGAAGCGCCGCCGCCCAACTTCTATCCTCGAGACGAGCTCAGATGCTCGGGAGTGCGCTGGCGGCCGCCGCACTTGCTGCTCGCCATCCTCTGTCTCTTGCTGCCCGCGGGACTAACATAGTCCGGGCATGTGAAACTGATCACGAGGGCGTGATTGGGTATCTGGAATGTGATAAAACAGAAGAGAAAACTATGTTAAAAACACTGTAAAGTGTGAAATTGTGCGTGGAAGTGAGCGGAAGCGTGTGAATGTGACTTAGGAAGAGGAGGAAAGATAAGAAATCCCTGAGGTGAACCCTGAGAGAGACGTTTCGTGTTCAAAAAAGAACTTTAAAAGCCACTTTTATCAATTTCAATTGTAAATGTAAAAGAAAAAGTTAAAAAGTATTTTCCAAATCGGCGATTTTCCAACATCATTCACATTTTAGATAGCAGTTAGGCGGTAATTTAGTGAGAAGGATGAAAAGATAGGGAGCATGATAGAGAGAAAAAATCCACTGTATTAGAGAATTTAACTAATTTATTGCTTAGGATGTGAGAAATACCACAAAGTATAAATACTCATGAAGTTTTCAAGGCTCTATAAGTAGGATTAATTGTTTTCTTTTTGTGGACACAAACGAAAGTGGACTGATTAGAAGCATTCCCAATTTGTGCATTATCTCTCCTCTGTAGCATTTCATGCTCTGGAGGACAATGAAGAAGCCACAACATTCCCTGTGAATTACCAGATCATCATACCGACTCACGTGGACGAGAAGTACCATCATATTTCGAGATAAATTGCCAAAGTGACATGTAATTTGTTCAAAAATCTGTGAGATATAAAAGTTTATTGAAATTATTGTAGTCGAGACACTTTTAATCGTTCCATCGCAGACACACTCATCGCTGCAGAGTCGATGCACATAGCGGAGACACAGATCTCTCACTGTTGCTCTCAAATTTGTACAATTTCTATAAGATTTTACACTTTAAGGACACCTTCCTGACCCATAATTAGCCGAGATAACTTCACCGCAAACATACGGGCTCCTTAGTCGCAGTTCATGAACCGTGTTATTATCGTTTGAAGTAATGATGGTGTCGTGTTCAACAACAGGTAAATTTTCTTTTGTTAACTACACATAATGTACAGCATTCGCATATTGTCCGTTTTTCAATTCAGCCTCTCTTCCAGAACATTATTGAAATGATAAGCTCTTATCGATTACTATCCAGACAATGAGGAGCAGAATTGCACTGGAAGTAAGTTTATAGACTTTTTATTATCTCCGAAGGTAAGTTGAATGTCTTTCATCTGTTATATTCTCTAAGAAAGTATAATAACTTTTTTCCTTGCTTCTAGAATTTGAGTAAACTCTGGGTAATGTTGGTAAAATACATGAACAACAAATAATGTTTGAAATTCATATAAAGTCTTTATATAAAAACTTTCCAATTTGACTTGCAACCCTTTCCGCTCCCGCCAAGAGCTGACAAAGTTCGGGAAAATACATGAAAAGTAATGAATTTTATGCTAATCGGTGCACTTGGGAGACAAGGATGGTCGTAAAGCAAAATGTCTAATAAAATTTGCAACAATAAAGAAGTCAACTAAGACGGATTTTCAAATGGAAAGCTGATAAAATCGAGAGACACCATTGTCAATTCTTTATTTACTCTTCGCATAAAACTCCTCCAGTATTATTTCTTCGCCCATAAAATACTTTCCAATTTGAAAGCAAAGTTTCACGTCAAGCAAATTGAATTCATCGTGAAAGGAGATTTCCTCAATCTTCTTGGAAGGATTAGGATGTTGTTCTGGGAGCGCATGGGGCAAAATGTTGTTAATTTTGGCTACGAGTGTTTCTTGAAGTGGAAGGAACGCTGTGCATATCGTCGTCTGAGTGAACGGACATGTCGCTGTGGTCACTGTCGAAGTGACTGGAAACCACGAGTTCTGGATATGCAGACTCAGTGTTCGCCATCTGCGTTTGGATATATTGTAGGAATTGTGAGACGTTTTGTCGAGCATCGTCGATGTCTTCAGAGGAAACTTGAGTTGCAACCGTTGCAGCAGACTTCACATTCTTGACCAAAGTCTTCGTCACTTTCCTCGCCTTGGTTTTGGGTTTCGTGATTCGTCTCTTCACTGTTCTCTTCGTTGGCTTCCTAGAGGACTTGGCAGTGGATTTCTTCTTCATTTTCTCTCACACTCAATTTTATTCACACAAAACAATCTCTGTCGCCCGAAAGCCTGCCGCGATATCAAGTGCGTGATCACAGATAGTCCAGAGTCGCAGGAATAGTCGTCTGGGCTCCGGTTTGTCACACCCGGTCAGTCTCCGTGGGTTGGCTGGAGATGTGGGTGAGCTCGGCCATGTTGACGCTGTCCCGGTGCGGCATGGAGAGGCTCCTCTTGCCGCGATAGCTGGGCGAGGATGTGTCCGGCTCGCAGCAGAGCTGCCTGAAGACGCAAATGTAGCACGCCAGCAGGGACGTCATGAGTATCGTGCCGATGATCACAGTGACCACAAGGAGAACGTTCACTTCTCCCTCACCAGCCATCGACACTCTTCCCGAGGCGCAAGATCAACCACGAGAGATCCTGCAAAGAGAATTTATTGCAAAATCAAGATGATTTATTTGGCATGAAGTGTGGGTGTGTTATTTGGCAAACATGTGTTGAATTTTGGTATAATTGAATTTTTATTTAATCTAGCGTATAATTACTTATCCACCGTAAATATGTAGGTTGAGATTAAATTATGAAAATTGTGCGAACTGAAATTCTCATAAATTTCCTGTAAGATTTATTTGCATAGACGTTTAATTGCTGATATTAAATATTCAATATGTACACATACATAATATACTGAGAAGATGAGGAAAATATGTACATATTTCCACCAAGATTTCCACATGAACTGTTTTGTATATCTGTACTATGTAAATTTTAGTTAGAATAATCCCCAGTGCTTCAGGTGTGTGTATTTTTCCGTTTCCCACTGTAAGAATGTAAATGGTAAATAAATATATTATAATTTTAATTCAATTTTCATATAATTCACATTAGGATTTGTATATCTAGCACAATTATCTGAGATTTCTGAATCTTTTCTTATCATAAATTCAAACATAATGTTTGCTATATGAGGTTTGATTCTTGCCAACTTTTCCACATTTTCTCACATTCAAATCAATCCACCCGGAATTTTACTCACACATACAGATTTTCTCATTGTATTTAACCTATGACAAAGATCGCCAGGATAATCGTTGAAAGTTTTCCACCCGGCTTAGTGCGAGAAAGACAAGAAGAAAAGGGGATTACAAAAAGCCAAGACTAACATGAAAATTCCTCATGAAGCGAAAATCCATTCTTTACCACTTAAATGTGAGTCGTGTGCACTTTTTCACCCCCAGCGCCCGGAGTAAAGAACAATTTATGTATGATTCTATATTGCTCCAATAAAGGAGTGATGGGGAGCACTGAACTGAGCAGGATTAAACTCAAGACGTGATGTCTTTACCTCAAAATTTCCACTCCCCTCTCACTGTTCAGTTGCGACGAAGCACGTACAGAGAAAAGTGATTTTCTTGCGATGAGCAAAAAGAATTGCGCATGAAAGGCCTTAAGTGGGCCAATCTGTACCTCATTATGAGGTCTTTTGGGTGCTGAGCTGTCCTATAAAACTTGGTGTCTAATACTATCAGAGTTAGTAAATTTATAGAGAACATTTTTTTTTATCTCGTCGCCCTCGAGTGAAATTTCTTCTCGGGGAAATAAAGGGTAAAGAAGTATAAAATAAAATACTGCAATTGTAAATCGTTTCGAGGAAAAAAAAAACCCTTGTCAAGTGTCGATGATAACGACAATGATGTACGCAAAAATCAATGGAATGGAACTCGATTGGGTGATGTAGCGTAAAGTTTTAAGTATAATGTTGAAAGCTCTAAAAAAGCTCAAGCTTCACCTCCTTCTCGACACCGATATCAATTGCATTGCTAGTTGTACGATTCTCTTTCATTCACTTTAAAGTTGTTCACTAGATTGCGTGGTTGAGTGGGTGTGTTCATGATGTAAATAAATAATTTCAATTTGTATACACAAAGATGAGATGAATGAAAAATAGACATAATAAAAATGTCTGGGAGGATTCTTCTCTCTAATATCATAGATACACACACTCTTAAGTGGGTCGAAGAGTCCCGATTCGACCTCCTCCTCAACCGAACAGCTTGACTTTTCTCACACTGCAGAAAAGTCTGAATAAGCACCCGCAAAAATGATGAAAGAGCGCTGAGAGATTGCTGTAAAAATAATTTTTTTTTACAGTATTGAAGATTCCGCCTTTGTGAATTCATGTGATTTAATCCTATTGGAGAATTGCATAGAACAGATACACATTCTATATTTAGAGTAGGAAAACTGCTCTGAAAAATCTGCTGTACGAATTTAATTTCAAGGCAATCCACACAATTTTAGGTCTCTTTGAAACACTTGAAGTACGTATAATTTCATTCATGATCCTGTCGCGAGAGTACAAATAGGATTTCCACGTGTTACTAATTGGAGAGCTTCTCGAGATGATTAAGCCAGACTATATCAATTATATTCCACTTTTGCTTCCTATTTAATATAATATTCCCATATGCGCTACATCATTTTTCATTTCATCAAATTGAAAAAGCTTCAGGACCACTCAAAAAATTGAATCAATGTCAAGCTGTCATCTTCCTAACAAAATATTGTCCCACTTTGGGTAAGAATAAGAATAACAAGAATAGCACATCTGAATCCTATTTTATTTATCTTGAGTGTCGTGATTTTGAATTCAATTTCTAGCCTATCAATAAATCTAAAATTAAATTTTTGAATATCCTTCCATCCCTACTTCGTGACTTATGCTTTACTACGTACTATTTTTGCGCTTTTTGTGCTCCTTCTTCTGTTGTCAGACAGCTCCTTGTCAGTGTTTGAAGAGCAATTTTTATGCAAAGTAGATTGTGTCTCTTCTCAGAAGGGTTGCAGTCGTTTGAACTTTTCTTTCTTCTTCTCCTGTCATATTTGCAGAACACACTTCTTGCTGTTAATCAATATAATGGAGAGACGAGTAAATTGAGAGTAAAATATTCCTTGCCGTATAATGAGGTCAGAAAATTATACAATGACTCTTCTTCAATCGCTAATATACCAACTTCCAATTCATGAATTCAAGTGATTTTTTAGCATAATTATTCAGTCCTTTACAATTAACGCAAACACGAAATCACCTTAAAAAAATTACAGCACCTTTAAATACTTAAAGCACCTGTTTTAGCGTATTTCGCGTAAGTCAAGAGTTTTAAAAAACGATAAAGAATAATGTTATGTTTGAAATTACCTAACTTTTCCCGCCTTTGTAATAATGAGAGTGATAAATTCTTCTTTGATTGAAGGAGAAATTGTAAAGTTATCCCTAATAATGTGTAAAAAGTAATAATGTGTTATTTTTGGGAAATGCAAAATTGCTTGAAATGACTCTTTATAAACTTCCACGGGCCTGTGTGATGTGTATATAATATCAGAGGGAATCCCTTTTGAATTGTGCAAATATTTGATGATTGATGATTTCGAGCTGATTCTTTGCTTCCTCTGAATTACTTATTCTTAGACTCTTTGATGTTTCTGAAATTCTATGTAAACATCTAATTTATGTCCTTCATTTGTGATGAAAAGCCATGTTGAACATTTTTATGCACGTTCACTACATTGTAAAAGCAAAAATAATCATCTCGCCGTACATATTCATGTGCTTCGTCAGTATAATTTTTGTGAAGGGTGAAGAAAATGCCGTACAGTGTAGGTAAAATATCACGAGAATACTCATTTTCATCTCTGCTAAACACGGTGACATGGCTGACATTCGGTGAAAATAATTCTCTGTGGCTTTAATGTTTAATTCTGGGCATAAAGATTGTGTGACGGATCACATGTGTTACTTCTGCAAGAGTATTTGGGATCCTGTTGTTTTTCGGAGGGTGTACAGTGTGTCATAAAAGGTCGACAAGAAATGATATTACACTTCATACGTCCAATTACAATTTTCTATCTCCGCCTCCTGATCAACTTTTGAGCTTCCACGCCATCGCGTGCAATGCAGGAGAGGACAAGGATGTGAGTGGTAAAAGTGAGATGATAAAAAAGGGGAGTGCAAAGTGTATAAGAGATTGGGAAGTGGATCATTATGGTTATGGATAAAGCGAGGATAGAGAGTATTTTTCTATCTCCCCAGGGAAGCTGTCCTTTTCACTTTTACGGCTCAAATTGCTCAGAGATGTCCTTTAATTGCTTTTTCACGACAGACATAAAGGATATAAACATTGTCAAGTCGTTCTGTGATAACAAATTATGAGAAGTGACATTTTTGTTCATTACTTGGAAGAGCATTTCAAACAACGACAGACATTCCATGGATAACTTCTGAGAAACCCAGTAAATTCTTTCGACAACCTAACATCTTTGTACTTTAATGTCTCGTGTAATGCGTGACATTAATTTTTTGGTAACTTTTCTCTTCTATCACGCTATTTCCTGCATTGCATCGCACAAAAAGAATTCCCCAAAAAGAGCGAACAATTTTACCTTATGTAAATTGGAGAGACTTTAAAACGAATTCCCCGGAATACTAAATTCCGCGAAATCTTTGATCAATTTCACTGTGAGAAAAGTATTTGTGTAATTTTATTAGCACTTGGAAAAATGAAACCAACCGAAAAATTCCTCAACATTTGAGGAGTCGTAAAAAAACCGAGAGGAATTTAGAACTTGTAAATTTTTCCATGTAGACTCCGTAAAATAATTTAGAGGGGGGAAAAATCCTCTCAAACACTCATCAATGTGGAAAAAAAACAAGAGAGCTTTGCTTTCGGGTGTATAAATATCTCCGAAGAAGAAAAATAAATATTTGGATTGGATAAGCTTTAATGAAAAACCTATTACGAATGGGCAGGAAGAAGGAATGACGCGAAGAGTGGAGTGAAAGAGGTAGATTACTAATTAAATGTATGAATATGTGTATTTTTCAGAACACAACAATGTTAAATATTGGAAGAAAATGGAAGGAGATTCCTTGAAATTGCCACAATGAAGGAAAAATTTATGTTTGTTTTGCAGAAATTCAGACTAGTAAATTATTAACGAAGACATAAATTGCTTTCATTTCTAAAAAGATATCATTGAGAGCCACTGGAAAATTTTAGGAAAATCTCATCAATGAATCTATTTTTAGAGACCTTTTTCCACCCCTCGTAATTCACACAATTCAGCCTTACGGGACATTCTTTGGATCGTCTTTTGCTTGAGCGCCACGCTCAATCGAAGTATATAATTAAGTGTGAATATGCTTTCGAGGGAATTTAAATTATTCACAATCACTCCAGAGAGGAAATTCCTGACCTACAGTTACTTCAGGGCAATTGAGATTCCCCAACAATTTCGCTCTGGCTCTTCCCTGTGGGTTCTCGGGTCGGAAATGAAATTCATTATCAACGCAGGAGTCACGAAAGTCCCTCACTTAATTTGCAACCCCCGCCATTGTGCCAATTAGACGTGGAGTACGTATGTCATTTGAAAGTGAAAAGCAAAGATAGGCCTGGCGTGGCACTCATTTCAAGGGTAAATCGTGGTGAAATTAATGAGATCCCCGCCAATATTATTTCAAGCGTGGCAATAATGGAAAATGTACCAGATGTGAGCTCTTCACGCCCCGCCACAACTTTTTAAGGGTGCTCCGGAGTAGGAAATAGGTAGATTTGCAGGTGTCAGATACAGAGGATTATCATACGCAGAGGAGAGGTCTGTTTGTGGCAACAAGTTATACTCAAGTTCGCCAATTATTCACATAAATTACTCTCGTTTAACCCACTCAAGTGCACCTTTTCACTTCACACAGAGAGGAAGTCATTTCATCTGACCGGGAATCCTCCACTGGTTGCGTTCGCCAGTGAGAAATTCTAAAGAGTACCTCTCAGCATCTCAAAATAAAGCACATTGTGTATACAAAATCACGATTCTCTGCTATTTCCAGCACCAATTAGTGTGTTAATTGGAAAATGAATATCAAACAATATACACGATCAGAATATTGAAAAAGATGATTTTGTTTTCTTCAATGAAATAGATTTAAATATCAGTAAAAATTAATGGAAATGAACCTCATCAAGTCTTTAATATTCTTAGTATTTATCAATTCTTGGTAAATCACGCGATAAATTACGTATAAATATTTGCTTTTGCTCTCAATTTTGTGCATTGTAATTTCACTACTTTAGTGTAATTACAAATTCTGTGTGTGTTTTGGCAGCCACGACATCCTTTGATACGTTAATTTACTCTTATTAGCAAATTGTGCATGTCATCTGGCAGCGATTAAATTGAAAATGTTTCAGAAACTCTCGCCATTACGGGAGCTTTATTAAGAGACTGCGCTCGACAGCACTACAATTTAATTGCCCCTTTGGTGCCCCTTTCCAGTGATGCTCATAGAGATATTCCCTGTGCAAACAACAACCCACTTTAGGTGTCTGTATGTCTTAATTGTTTCAAATGCACGATATGTACTTCTACCTGTGGGAAATGGATTTTAGACGGAACGCAGAACCGTCACATGTGTGTGAGAATTACAAAATTCCTACGTAAGGACGGTGAGGACATAAAATATCAAGCGCGACGAGAGGGTGAAAATACAATAAAATCTGTTATGGATTCATGCTGGGAAATACCATAAAATCCGCTCTCGGGAAATTTTTCACAGCCTCTCTATTGGCTGAAAATACACATTTTTCCTCGTTGCAAAGCTTATTCGCCGCAATTTTGATGGAGCTAAAGGGACTGCTTAAATCGCCGATATTTTCTCCTTTATTATATTCAGGAAAGGAAAATCAGAGCAAAGGAAAGGTAGAGAAGTGAATAAGGCAACAGAACAATGTGGAGAAAGTTTAACAGATTTTTCAAGTCAAGACAACGTGAGAGGAAAATTGAAAAGGAAAATATTTACTTACGGATCTTCTGTTTGCCGATAAAAGTGGAGAGACTCTCCCTTGCAGAATCACTCCATCGAGTCCATCCTTTGAATTTCACTCCTTTGAGATCCTTATGATTGATTTTCGCCACAGAGATTCATCATATTGAATGGTATCTGTCGAGTAAATCAGCCAAAAACACCACAGTATCACTCACACCACACTAAATCCACGAAAACACATTAATGTGGGCGAAAATATGATGATAAGAGATTAGTTGAGAAGGGATACTTTTATGGCTTTCAACTTTGAAAACCTTCCACACGCGCCACCCACAATTTATCATGAAGAGCCTCACAGAAGCGCTCAAGTGATTGTGCCACGAGCTCAGCTCCAAGAGTTGTGATGCGGTTGGAAAATAGAAATTTGAAAGAGAGTGCGGATTTTAGAGAAAATTCACGCATGCGTCGATCACACGCACTTTCGTCATATCGTTGAAAAAACAATTATAAAATTCACCAAATTGGAGAGAATAAGAGATACATTTCGGACAATTTTAGCCTCACTGTTTAGTAGATGAACCACCAAATGTGACTAAAGCACAAATCGTAAACTCTGGTATAAGCCGTCAAATAAATAATTTATCTCTCTGGCGATTGTGAGAGTCGGAATAATTTTGCGCGCGAAAAAATGTATGCGAGAACCATACTGAATCCATAAAGATAATCTGAAGCACGTGCAAATACTTCAAATACTTCTCGCACAGATAGTCGAACGCTGTGATCCACTTTTATAGACGAAAATCAATTAATGTACAGAATATCTTATGCAAATGTTCAGTGCTTCCACGCCAGACAACATTTGAGATTGAGCTATTGTCTCCTCGGTCTCTGCATTCATGCAAACGCGATGTGAAAACGTGTGAAATCCACCCAATTTTCCACAGTTTACAAATGGATTTTCACCCTCGGTACTTACCTACGTGATACATCCATTACTGCAAGTGGATTTGTTGTTATGCGGATTTTAGTATTTGTCTAACACGACATCTCACTCTATATATGCCATGAGCCAATATTTATTTTACGCACTTTGAAAGCTCTGAATCCTTTCGAAATCAATAGTTATTGTTTAAATTGCATTTAAGTGCAACACATGACAATCTCTTAAATAATTTTAATGTGTGAATTAATTCATTTTAAATATATATAGCGAAATTAAAGGGAAATTACAAATTGCATCTGAAAAACTAAATGGGGACGCCTGGTTTTGTGTCTCGGCTAAAATTTGAAGTTGTATAACAGTTGAGTTTCGAGCTTTTCACTGATAAAAATCACAATATCGAGTATAGTATAAACAGTACCTGCTTTCCTCATAAGTTCCTCTGTTCTTTTCTTCACTTCAAAAACAATAATTTTAATTTATTTACAACATTTATTACGCTCTTATATCAATTTTCATCTCTAACATCCCTTTAGTTAGACGAATTTCTATACATTATAAAAGTCACTATAAATATTTAAATATGTCTTCTCATCTCTCTTCTAGCAGTGGTATTAATTTTAAAAAAAAACGACTATTTGCATTTTTCCTCGCCTTTCCAATAAATTTCCTAATCATGTTCCTTTAGTATGACATCGTATTTACATTAATAAACCTATCATGTTTTTTTTTTAAATGAAGAGTTTCGTCTTGTGTATAAAATATATATATATAAAAAGAGTGATAAATTACATAATTTTAATTAATTACACGGGAAAAATCTATATCACCTTTTTCTTATTCGCAATATTTTATTACTTATTGAAATGTCCATCAAACTCGTCACTGGCCAGCGTGAGAATTGCATAAATTATTTAAATTTGTTTAAAAAGAAGAGTTTTGCGCGCTTAAACGTACACTGGATGTGATTTATTGTCTCTCGCCTCCTCAAGCGGCGTCTCTGTGAATGGTTTTTGGGCATTGGCTGTAGAGCTTGGGCGCTCGGTCTCAGTGCTGATGGAGCAGTTTGGCGGGCAGCATATAATCCTTAATGGCGTAGAGAGCCTTCGCGTACCAGTGAATGCCGTTCTGTCGCGAGGCTTCGGGCTCCTGGGCAGGACTGAACCATCGACTGATGGTCTTAGCAGCGCGCACAGGCAGGAAGCTCCAGTGAGCCACCGCTTGACTATCGACTAGAGCGTAGCACGAGGCTGCCACGGAGTCCACAATGATCGTGCCGGCGCGCGTGAGTGGCGCAAACACGCCACGCGACAGCGTGACTGAGACGCGGGTCACGCGACGGGGCACCAGTGTCGTTCCATTTACAGCCACAAGCAGCAGATCGCCCTCCTCCACGCGATCAGCGAATACGAAGCTTCGTCGGCCCACGCTGTTCACACTCATCAGCAAATGACTCGGAGTCACTGTCAGGTGTGTTCCGGCTTCTGCCTCGATTTGCATGAACTGTCGCTCCTCGTCGGCGTTTCGGTCAAGGAAGAGCATGACTTCGCTGAAGACTGGCCGCCCACTCTCGCTGTCAATGCTCAACACTCGCTCGCCTATCCTCAAGTCCGCCAGTCGGCGGCGCTCTCCTGACTGCGTCACCACCGTACTGGACGCCGTAAAGCACCCTGAGGTGTACGAAGCCTGCGATGAGTCTGCAAGCGACAAACAGAACATTTTAGTATTACACTCAATGATCGATAAAAGCCTCTTTCCGGGACTTAAGTGTGCACAATCATCTTAGAAATGGGATAAAGAGACTCATAAGAAATATGTAAATTATTTGTTATTGGATGAAGTAAAGATCATAATTAGTGCAAAGCACACTTTACAAGGCACTTTACGCAACGGAATCGATTAGAAATGTCGTCATGCCGTCGAAAGTGGTGCTTAATTGCAAAATTATATTTTTACAGAGTGATTTAATTATTATTACAGTAATTTACATGCAGTGGTAAATGTTTAAAACGCCCCTCTAAACTAAGAATATATCAAGTAAAATACGATAAAAATTTTATTAGCGCGCATTTTCCGAATAACAGTCATTATATGCAGAAAATCTCGTAATAAAACTGGGTTCATATATTTGCATATTGTATGGAAAATATGACTATTAAGAATACATAGAGAGTTTTTTTTTGTTCTATGATAACTATGATGTTTGAAGGAAAAGTGATCAAAAATTTATTTCATAAAAGCAACAAAGAAAATCTGAATGGCCAATTATGCGAGCTGCCAAGAAGAGATCTAATGCACTCGGAATGAGACTACCAATATTTAGCAAACTCCTCCTGAGCCAGATTTGTGTCTCGCTGTTGAGGTCCAGGAGCAAAAGAGTCCTTTGATAGGCCGCCTCCTTTGCCAAATCTCTGACTCCGGGTGGTTTGCTGACTGAGGCCACACCATTCTCTCGCTCTCCATGTCGCCCTTTTGTGAACAAGGCATGGCGGCACAAGTCAAGAACACAGCATTATCCTTGTACCACATCCAAATGGAATGATAATCAACTTTTGGCTGGGATGAAAAGGATTTTGAGAAGGAAAATTGGTCTCAATTCTGTCTTCCTTCTTTTCTACTTCTTCCCTCGTGAATGTGGGGAAGAAATCTATGCCCTTTCCAGCATTTTTTTTCCGGTGAATTGTGATACCATTCATTGGGCTCTGGCTGCATTATGCCTCGTTGTCTGATTTAGAGATTCCTCCTGATCCGCCATTTCATGCCTCCCGCCCCAGTGAAAGAGAGAGGAATTCGTGTGAGAGAAGAAGGGAATTTCTACCGAATGAATAAAAATGGCCGAGGAAGAAATAAAATTTATAATACCTGTTTAAATTCCACTATACCGTACATCTTTCCAATGTATAGTTCTCCTCGTGTGCCTCTTCTGTCCTTCCTTTGGCCGGGAATTGTTGGCCAAATGAATTCCATTTGTTTAGAGATGATCGCACTTAGAAGATCATCAGCGATCTCTCCTTGTTCGAGTCCTTCTCACACAGTCCACAGATTCTCCAACTTCAACTGCGCGAGAATGCTCGTTTTTTCTCACCCAGCTCACGAGCAAACTAATGGGCCAGAATCTCGAAATGATGGCGGCATCCCAGGCTCGGAGTAACAAAATGAAGAGCAACAGCCGTCCGATGTGCTCATAAAATGTTGAATATTAAATACTCCACCATATGTAATTCATTAACTCAATTGGTTCGGGCTATCTCTCGTGGTGTCTTGTTTTTGTGCCTCCTCGAGGTGTTCTCTCGACCAATTGCCGAAGATCTTCTGTACGCAGTTCACATTGTAGAATACCTATTGAATTTCTCCATTTAATTTCGGCATTCATTTCAATTTATCTGCATTTATTTGTTGACTCTCGTGTGCTGATGGTCTTTTTCGGCAGGAAGATCACGTTGGACGATCACTTCGAAAACATGACACTGGAATTTGGCTTCTTTGTCTGCTTGTGAGCAAATTAATTTGAAGGGAAACCACAAATTGATTTCTCTCCTTCGAAGGCCTCCAAAACATCTCCCGTGTGCACACAAAGTATCCATCAACGAAGGTAATAAAGGAGATTGAAGGAAGGTGGTAAAAAGACTCGAGTTTCTCAATTGAAAATGAGTTGTGATGATGCAAAAAGAAAGGTGGAAAAAAACACGTGTAGACAAAAAGTGCAAAAAAATACTCGAGAAACCTCATTTAATAATATTTCTCATTAGCCACAAACATTGGTTCAGGTGGATATCCAGAAAGTGCTATTCGGAGGTGGAAAGCAAGTTATCCAGCGGCCGAGAGTTATAATTAAATGAGTCAAGTTAACTTTTCAATTTGCCTGGATTTGACTTGGATGGATGAGTGGAAGTTGCGAGACGGAGGATCATCTCACGAGATTACACAAGACACTAAGTGATCTCACACAGCGAAGAAAATTGAGTAGTTTCAGTAGAGAATGTCTTCAAAGGAGAAAATCGTGTTTAAATATCGAGACGAGGGATTTTCCATACAAAACAAGTAATCCGTGCTGAATTTTTATGACTTGATTTCAGACAAAGCGTTAAAGGATATTAAAACATAACGATTCTTCATCGTAAAAGATATTTTGAGTAGATGCTGAAGGCAAAAAGAAAGTGATATAAATTCAATGTTAAATTTTAAGTAAATATCCTGAAATTCGATGTCCGTCCCACTAATTTTTTACAAAATGTGCCCAAAAAACGCTTTGGCCTAGCAAATCGCCCTGATATTGGATAAAAGTAAAAGCTTCTTCACCGCCGCTTCATCTCCATCTTCTTACTGTTATTAATGATGAACTGTTTTCACGGTGAGGAATTTAACGATTTAACAAGACGAAGGCGATTAATATGACATCATTAGTTAAATGGTAAGAAGGCTGCGATTCTCGTTCTGACAGTGTGAGAGCCCCAAATCGGCATATTTCTTCCACATAATCGCGCACGCTACACAACATCCAACGCTCAAATGCAAATTTAACACGTCCAATTTGTCCTCAGTGCGCTTCCCTCCGCGACTGGACCATGCCCATGACTGTTGAACTCCAACACTCACGGCATTGGGCAGCGAGAGAAGTGAAGATGATCGGCCGAGAAGGTGGGAAAGAGCATTTCTTCCTCCATATTTTTTCCCATCATCTTCACCTTGTTCGCCGTCTAAATTTCAAACCACTGGGTGAATTCCCCCCGTTGCGCAGGAGATTCGATACACACGTATCTGAGCTCGTGTTTAATGCAAAAGTGGATAAATAAAAAGGCATAAAAGATTGGTGGAGAGGAAAAAAGTCCATCGTCTGGCAGGGAAACCAGTTTCTTCGTCGAGTAAAGTCTTCTTGTCTCTCTTTGGTCCAATATCCCGAACAATCAATTCAACAGTTCGCCGGTGGACAGTGGGATTCTCCTCTTCACTCACACTCTCCCTCAACACCCATCCCATGGGCATTCCATCGGATTCCTAACATGGGATTTACGTTCGGCCACAGTCGCTTCAGGGCGCTTTTAATGGATGCTATTGTACCTGTTAGAAGACTATTCATATACTTTTCGCTTTCCACCGTCTTGCGGCTTTTCAACTTCCCAAAACCATAACGATCATGGCCACTTCAATCTAAGAAATGCTCTCGAATCAATTGATCGAAAGTTCGAACATTAAAAGTGTTTGTAAAAAGTGTACTTTGCAGGCTTTGATTCTTTGCTATTTAAACGTAAAGTCAGTGCTATTCCAAAAATTACGTCTTGGAAAAATCCCCAAAATTTTTCCCACGATTCTCTGCTTTTTTTGTACCACTAAACATCCTGACATAAGATCACGGAGCAAGCAAGGCTTAGTACTGAGCATGAAATGAACACTCTGCAATTCCTGCTAATCTCATTGGCATTTTGAGAAGGCAAAATACCTTCTAAGGAATTCTCTCTTTACTTTTAGCTAAAGGATAATCCTAATTATATATTCTTAACTCTTCTCAGATGTTCCTTCGTGGAGAATTCATGGCAGAAAATCACCCTGAGAACACAAATCATGGCATCTAAGGATCCTTCCCGCCTTGTGTTTGTGTATTTTAAAAAGTTTTGATAAATTTATGGCGTGAGACATGCATTTGTCTATTTTTTTGCTCCCACCATCACTTTTAACACTCACCAAGAGTCCGGCAAAGAGCGCTAAAGCGCATCCCATGGTGGGATGGCAAAAAGGAGAGAAGATAAATAAAACAGTTTGAGAGGAAATTTCATAGTTCACAATGTATTTATCTTTGACCTCAGTAAGAGATAATAAACAAAGAAGTGGAAGAAAGGTAAGAAAGAATTGCATAAAAAAGGCACTGCGGGAAAAAATAATGGAAACTCTCTTTGGCGCAAAAATGCCGCCTCCTGCCCTAACATTTTCTTGTGGTCAGCACAAATATATGCGAGGGAAAAATAAACATCATAACTTATACTGGTCGAGAATTGGGGGAAGAATGCCGACGCTAGGGAAATTCTAGAGAGGACTTCACAGGAAATTATCCTTGTATTCATATTATATTGATTTTAGGGGCGCTCCCATGAGATAAAAATAAAATCAATCTCATGGGGAAGGAATCAATTTGTGATCACAATTAAATGAATTTGTGATTGATGCATCCATTGTTTTTCCGTCCCTCTTGTCAAAGGAATGCTTTAGGCCTTCGAGAGACCATGTATTTATATTTGGGACTCTCGAGATACTTTTGCCTCGATATGAATCTGAGGAGGCGAAGCCAATGAGAGACTTGAGCTTTTTGGGTGAATTGATGGAGCTGGTGGAAATGCTATTAGCCAGCATGGTGCAAGGAAATAGGATATTTCTCTAATTGATATTGCTCTTCTGGCCATGCCAAATGAAATGAAAAGGTTTATTAGATGAGTCTCCGCTCGCACTGAGCTCAGCGTCTCTCTGGTGTCTCCGGCCGAGTCCGAGAGGTGATTTAATTAAATGATAATTAAATGTGAGCAGAAACGTGAGGAGAGGCAATAATGTTGGCGATGTGAAAAAAAGGAAGGAGAGAGAAGAAAATGATGCCAAAATCTCAGGGTTTTGCACACATGAGATGGAATCGAAGGCACATGAATTGCCAGTGAGACTCTCCATTGATGCTGGGCTCTCTGGAGTGTGCGTGAAAACAGCCAAAATCACTTAGAGATCGCCTCTGGCATTTATAATGATAGGAGGTAACATAATTCTCGTTTGAATTTTCGCACCAAATCAGCGGAGTCTCGCCAGCAATGGACTCCCATCTTCTGAAGAAGAGTGAGAGTGAAAATATTTGGAAATTCGATCACACGAAGGGATGTAATTGTATCACCATGGCAAGAAGATGTGTTTCCCGCTCGGACATTCACACAACTTCCCAGAGGAATTTTGCGGTTTCCTGTCCACTTTTTTGCACGCCCTTCCGTTCAGCCCATGGGAAGAGATCACACAAAGTCCAGCAAAAGCTCGAGGAGTTTAGACACCTTAGACTCGACCCCTTAACACTGAACTCGATGGAATCGTGTTTGGCAAGAGGCGAAAAGACGTGAGGATTCGGCTAGATGCAAAATTAAAGATCACCTTCACGCTTTTGTATGATGATCGAGCAGCACCATATACACGCGATACCGAGATTCAGCGAATTAACAAGCTTCTCGTTAGCATTCTGCTGGGATCGTCCATGTGGGCTTTGAAGGGACGAAGTGCAACGTGGACCTGAGAAGACGAGATCGGGGAAGTATTGCGTATTTTTGTTCACCAAAATGGTGTCTAAATTACATGTTTCAATACAGCGTTATTGCTCTTTAGGTATTGGTGAGGTCGCTTCAGAAGTTTTCGCGCATTTCTTACTCCTGAAAATGTTTCTCATCTAATCTAAGAGACTTTGACGAAGTCTCTGTTGAAAATCTAATCGTCATATGGCTAGAAGATGTGCAACTTATCATCCCATTGGTATTGCTAGATTTAGCAGACTCACCTGACTTTACTGAACAGTGAATGTAGCCTCGACTCTCGTAAAAGACCCAATCGAAACCGGCCTCAACAGCTAACCTGGCCAGCATTCCGTATTTGCTCTTATCCTTGTCGGATGTCGTGATATCCACGGCTCGTCCTTCGTAGTGGAGCGATTCGTGACCGTGCAGTCGCTCCTCAGCCCAAGCCTCAGTCACTCTGAGCCTCACTCCTGGCCACTGATTCATCACAGACCACGCCAAGGTGTTGAGTTTCTCCTTGCAGCGCTGCAATGAGATCGGAGAAAGAGAGACGGTTTTAAATTAATGCCGTGCCGACTTATCAGGGATCACTACAACCACCGCATGGGTGATTGGGTAAATGGCGGTGGTGAAGAATGTGATGTATCACATCATTGAACATTTTCATGTACATCTCGAGGCACTTTTATCACATTGTCACTCCGCACAGCGCTCGGATGACCAATGCGAGGTGAAAAAGAGCTCCTCAATTATGTCTGAATTGAGATGGTAAAGTGGCTCGGTAATTGCATAATTGCACTCCCCGAGTCACATCAATTGAATTGATAGGGAGGCAAAAAAACTGCAGTGCCAGAGAGAAATCCACAGCACGCCACTGGAGAGAAAGAATCGAGAAATCTCATTATGAATAATTTAAAGTGGGTAAGCGATAATTATGATTATTACAATTTTAACACAACATCTTCCTCTTCTATCAATTTGCTGGCGTGCTTAAACACCATTTCATGTTTTTGCCGCCAGTACAACTCTCTCAGCTTGCGATCACGACATGTTATCACCATTGAGGATAATTTACCAGCACTGAGAGATTCCACACAGAGTGAATACTCGCATGGAAAGAGATAGAAAGCTCAATTGATTTACAACACTGCTTCATTGAGGGGTTGAACTGACTAAACCGTTCTGATTTCCAGAGGAAAATAGGCCTCATTTTCGTGATTGTGACTAACTGATCGCATGATTGGTCCAACACGCTTCGCGATGGAACCACGCATTTAAAATCTTCAAACTAAATGAGTAAAGTGAGAAAATTCTCACATTTAATAACAACCATCAGAGACATAATCCAAAGCTCATGAGCCAATGAGGCAGCGAATGCAGCAAAAGAGACCCCGTTGGAGCGTTCCAAAGTGAGAATATGAGAGTGCAAGAACGAAAGATAAGTTCATGATAATAATTAGTGCAAATCATCATTTTTCACTTGTACACCATAAGGTGGGCAATTGAATATTACACTATGCGTGGAAACCATTCCTTACGACTCTATAATCAAGTCACATTAATCCACACAAGATCACACTAATGATGCGTTCTTTGTGGCTATGATTCCACCCTGGTGGAAAATATTGCAGCGAATTTATTTCCCTCAATGGTTTCTTCAACTGCTTCCACTCATCGATGCTGCTCGGCTTTTTTGGTCGCATTTTTTACACGCTCATCTCGAAGAAATTCACCTGCAAATGACCACGCCTTCAGCTAAGGTGGAGTCACATTTGTATCTAATTTTCTATAGATTCACACTCACACACGGAGAGATGATAGTCAAAAAGAGAAACGGAGGGAAAATTAGTCATTCAAGTGTTAAATTACTTCTTGTATGGGCACCCAAGGCCTCGTGATCGTTAGTCCACATGGCGGGCAATTAGATAACGTTATACCTTCACAGGAAATTCACAAGGGATCACCTAATTTAGAAGGTGGAGCTGATATGGCGTTTCTTCACTGGCCGATTCAAAAGGATTGACGAGAATGATGATAGACCATCTCCCATTCCGACGTAGCGCAACAACAAAACCCAAACATCATTGTCCATCAATCATAGTGAAAATTCTTCCAATAGACAAGATCATGATCAATGGAGAAGAATTGTCGACATGTGTCACAACAATGTGGTTTCTTTTATGTGGTTCAACCGACAGAAATACACTTTTCACAGTCCAGAGCAGAATTCTTCCTTGCATTTCCTCTTCTCTCAGGTGAACCAGGTACAAAGGTATGCTTTATGAATTTGCAATAGGATTTTTAATTGCGAAAATATTACACTCACGTCCAGAATGTGACGCGATGAAAAATATTTGACAAATGATAAAATTAGATTCAAACTCAACATGCTTTCAATTCCAACACTATTCTTCACCCCGAAGGAGTCTCAGTGAATGAATTATCTCAAATGTTATATATTTGAGTGATTATTGCCTGCATTGTGACTTGTTAATAAAATTAGCCATTCTCTTTATTGTAATCGCAACATCCTGTTAGAATTTCCTTGAGCCCATAAAATGGTCTCATTCTTCATGTTCAATTCTTTCCTCTGCGTGAATCGTCATGGTTGAATTTGACGAAGAATTAAGGTTGAAGGAATCTCCAGAATGTCCAAGTCTTACCGAGAATTCCTAAAAACCGCCCATTGATTCACTCTCTCGAATAGACCTTTTCTCTCGCCTCTAGCCATGGATGAGTGTTAAAAGTGTCATTTTGGCCAAACACTGAGAACGCCGTGGCGAATCATCGTGTCAATCGATGACACGGTAGCTCGTAAAAACACAAACATTGAGGATAAAAAGGCAAATATCACTGGGTATCGAGACAAAATGCTTGGGAATTGTCTATTTCTAGTTCCGAGAAATTTGCCCAGACAATTTTTCAGTATTTAAAAGGCTAAATTCTGAAGCATTTGTGAATCTATCACAATGAATTCAATAAAATTGGGCTCATTCGCATACGAGTGTCTGAGAGTGCTAGAAATTTGCCAAGTAACATTAACCTTATACATGGGATATTAGCAAAATGAGTTGAGAAGTGATCGATTATAGAGAATTGACAGCTTCTGTATTACATCCCTCTTTGAGGGTCATGCTCTCAAAAGAGTCAAAATATTTTCCCTCTTTCTTTGCAGGTTGCCACAAAGGTTTCATTCAGGTCTCCGAAACCGCAAGCAAACCATCGAGCAAACCTCGGGGCTAGAAAAGGCGCGTCATTTTTCAATTTCTTTCAGGCAAAAGACGGAGAAACTGATCCTTTTTGACCAAGGCAAAGGCATTTAGCATTACCCCCGGAGTGATCTCCTGTGGGGTGAAAGATAACAATATAAATTCACCGAGAGAAAATGCAGGGCAATTTGTTTAATTTTTCACAAAAATTGCGGTAATGATCAAAGATGTTGCTCATATTGTTGAGATACACTTTTTGAGGCATCTTCAAATATACCCCCGAAAAAAAGTCCTGCAAAATCTCTCTTGCCTCCCATTCACGGATTGTGTCTCTCTCTCTTTCTCGCATTGAGCATAGAAAAATCAATTGACAATAACTTGTGTGTATGATTTTTGATATAATGCGCCATGAAGCACTCAAAAGAGCTTTGCAGGAAGGGACATGAATCACCTTTTTGACTTAAACTCTGTCCCTCGCCAGTGTTACTATTCCCATTCACAATCCTCTTGCGAACAATGCTTCAGGGAGATAAAAGTCCCATTGTCATGGGAAGTCAAACAAAGTTGAAAAATGGGTGACTCGCGCTTAATTGAATCCTGTTTGCTCTTCTCATTTTTATCCATTCAACGTGAGCCTGAAAGTCAAAAAGGCAATGCGGCGATAGTATCTCGCTGGTTGTTCTCCACAATGTTGCAGTCTGTAAGAATTGAAGGCAATTAGGCCAACATTACGATCTATATAAAATCATTGAATATAAATTAGTGGTATTGTGACATTTTGAAATGATCCAGTAAACTCATAAATAATGGTGCTATGATAGCCAATGCAGACAGAAGAGCGGGGCTTTTTCGTACAGTATCTGAGTAAGTAAGTATTATTCTTGGTATTATTATTACAATTTTATAAAAAGAAATTTCACAAAGATTGTGAATGAATATTTGGACTAAAATAAATTTGTTCAGTCATGTATAAAATTTGAACGTGAATTCTTGGCAATAAAATTCCATGATTAAATACAATACACTCACTCAAAAAGTCCCATAGGAAATGAAGTCTGTAAAGTTTTATTTTAAAGTTCGGTCTGAAGTTTTTCAACCAAAAAATTATTCTTGCTACACAATGTTTCAAAAAAATGCGTTAAACCAAGAGTGGGAAAATGCTGAAGACATTAATATTTGTAAAAATATTATGTTAAAACAAACACCGAGCATTATGGTAAATTCATGCGACCATAAAGGTGAGTATTTACCTTCCATTTGCCGCCATATAAAATGCATATCTTCGTCTTTTTAGCAAACACTGTTGGTGTACAATGAGTAGAGCAAAGAAGAGCTTCAACAACATATTTTCTGGTCTCATTGCTCACCAACCATTGGACGAATCTATAGGTTTTGTATCTTCACTCAATATTGAGTCTCACACTCGACGATGGAATATGGCTTAGTGCAAAATTGTAGTAAGGATACATTGTCTTCTTAACCCACTTGATGAGCATTAATCTTCATTGAATCGGAAATTCTCGATTTGCGTGCAGAGATTAAATGATTAAAGGCGATCCTCGAGCGGATCACCATTCATTTTTCGCCGAAATCGTGTATCAAATATTGAGATCGTCTCACACTCGCGGGACTCGTGAGGCTCACCTTGGCTTTCATCTTATTCGCGTGGTTCTTAATCCCGTGATCCACATATTGTTGTGACAAGCGAATCAAACACCCAGAAATTCCGACCGCAGCATGACGCTGACGGAGATGCAAGAGAGCCTCTTTTGTCCCTTAATTGACGTGGACCCGTGTGAAACTGTCAGCGATCATCGCGACTAATCAGACAAAATTAATCGCCAAAGTTCGGGTTACAGGACAGAATTTCAGGGCATGTCCACATCGCTTATGCGACTAAGGGGAATTTGAAGTTTCCTAAGGCCACTAGAGTGACACAAAGTTGCGCCAACAAATCTCCCTTAAATGACTTCAACTCACTGAACATCATCACATATGTATCTCAATACGAATCGCGAGGTAACAATTCATCTCTTCCCCACGAGATCCGCCAACGAAGTGTGGGCTTCTTCGCCGTTCTAAAGGCGCCCCAATGTAATATCGTGGCCGTGGTTGTACTAAAATCTCTTTAATTTATTTTCACGACGATACATGAACACAGTGAGATTCGCAAATTGAAGGAAATTAATAACGTCACAATAAGCGAGTTAAAAATGGGATGTTGAAAAAGGCAAGGGACACATCTACTGTTTTTCCCCACTGCAACATTTAATAATATTAATTACATGTGACATGAGCAATAAATAAGTTTACGTG